CTGAGACACCAGGTGACCGTCTGAGACACCAGGTGACCGTCTGGGACACCAGGTGACCGTCTGGGTGTTTACCAGTGTCAGCTCTCATTTTAAAGCATGTGTCTAATGGACCATTGAACTGATTGACTTACACTTTGAAGTTGTTAGAGGTTAGTTTTTACCGACGCTGGTACCTTTTGGTGCACGTGGTATTTTTTGCTAAATACCACGTAGGGTGAGAACTTCTGTGTCTCATCTAAGGACTCAAGTCCAGCTTGTTTTAAGTGTTCTTTTATTTTGGGGAACATAAACAGAAACTCTCAATACGAAGACGCCGCTGATCGTGTTTGTCTCTTTGTGTCTTGGTGTTAGGTGCTGAATGTTCTTTTAGGGTTCCCTGGACCGGTTTAATCCCTTCTCTTTTATCCAAAGTACTTTCTAAACCAGCTTCAAGAAGTATTTAGAAGTATAGGTACTTAGTGCCAAAGCATTGGCAGTGTTTTTTGTGCTTTTAAGCTCTTGCCAGAGTGTGAAGCTGAAGAAACTCAAACAAAAAAACGTGTTTGTTTGGGCTTCCTGTCAAAGTACGACATGTTTTCACATGGAGGCAGCACAGCAGAGGCTGTTGTTGTGATCGGTGTTTGTGTTGGACTGATGAATCATTTCACAAATCCATTGTAAAAACAAATCAAGGATATTTCAAAGAGAAACCACCTTTGTGCAGCATCAGAGGTGCGCTTTGATGAAAATCCAAAATATTTTCTACAAAAGCAATTTCTTTTTTAGAAAGAGGACATATTACCTAATGACCAGAGGTGGGTAGTCACGAGTTACATTTACTTGAGTAGATTTATGAAGATGTCACAGTACTCTTACTCCACTACATCAGGCCACACTGAGCTCGTTACTCGTTACACAGATCCTGGATCCAGCTTTAGCTTTAGCTTTAGCTTTAGCGATCCAGTGTCCGGTTCTCTGTTCGTCCATGATCCAGGATCTCGCATGACTGTGTCGCTCAACAGTTACTCAGTACTTAAGTAGTATTTTCACCAAGTACTTTTTTACTCCTACTCAAGTAATTATTTGGATAGCTACTTTTTACTTCTACTTGAGTAATATTATTCTGAAGTAACAGTACTTTTACTTGAGTACAGTTTTTGGCTACTCTACCCACCTCTAGATATCTGACCCCGGCCAGGTGTCCTCCAAGGACCACGAGCTTCAGTTCAGTTCTAGGGTCCACTCTCCATATCTTTTCTGTATCTTTAATAAAACTGGTTGGGGTTAGACTCTGTTTGTTGTGTTTTCGTCTTCACCTGATTGGCTCAGACAGTTTTTCACCACTGACTGTGTAAATACTTTATCAGGGACATTGACTTGAATCGAGTTGTGAAAGAAGGACGAGACGGACGTCCGTCCTGCAACATTCTTAACTGGGACAGACGTCCGTCCTGCAACAATCTTAACTGACGTCCGTCCTGCAACATTCTTAACTGGGACAGACGTCCGTCCTGCAACATTCTTAACTGGGACAGACGTCCGTCCTGCAACATTCTTAACTGGGACAGACGTCCGTCCTGCAACAATCTTAACTGGGACACTTCCTCAGTGAGGACATGCTGTAAATCTTGAACCTCTCACACACACACACACACACACACACACACAGGTCACAGTCTATCGATGGTGTACTAAATGTTTAAATGTGTAAAAAAGACAACAAGGAAGTGTGTGTGTGTGTGTGTGTGTTCTTGGATAGCTATACTCGTGGGGTTCTTTAAAAAAAACCACTGATTTTTGGACCATTTTGTCTTTGTCCACTGAGAGAGAAGGGACTTTAAGAGTGAGAGGTTTTCTACAGTTGGAAACAGAACGAGGGTCGGACCATGATGAAGATGAAGATGAAGATGAAGATAAAGATGAGGCAGGAGGAAGGTTAGGGTGAGGAGGGGTCATGTCTATGAGGAGGAGTAAAAAAGAAACATTATGTACTGTGTGTGTGTGTGTGTGTGTGTGTGTGTTGAGTTACCTGGTACCCACAGCTGTCTGGAGCAGTGTACATAGTCCAGACACAAAGAATATCGTGGAGATGAGTTGGCTCTTGGCCTCGTTGTTGTCCCTGATACAGAGGGGCTCGGCCAGGATGAGGGGGATCGCGATGATGCCGCCGAAGGCCAGGATGTAATGCTGTGGAGGGAGAACCAACAACAACAACAACAACAACAACAACTGTGAGACTGTTGACCAAAAGAAACAACCACTTCACAGTGTCACTAAACATCCAATAATAATGTGATGTTTATTTCATTTCATTTGTTCTTTCCCCAAGTCCAGAAGAAAACTGGTCCTCCGACAAATACAGCTGAGATCAGCACGTGAGAAGGAACTGTTTGTAGTTGAATGTTAACATCAAATGAAACATAAAACCATTAAGACTTTAACTTCATATCTCAAACTATACTCCAACAGCAGCAGCGACCCCTGGTGTTTGATTCTCACTGAACAGACACACGTCTGCCTCTGACACGAGTCCAACCTTGTTGTGATCTTTTATCTTTTCCTCTCAGTGTCCATTAAATGAAGACAGATGTCGATCGGCCTCAGCAGATTTACGGGAGGATTTTCTAACCAACAACTCCCTCAAGTCACATGGAAATGTCCACGGTTTTTTGGTTTGTTTTTCTTCTGTTTTGCTGTAGTTGACATTAATCGACATTAATCAATCACCTGTTTTCATCCCAAATGATCATCCAGTCAACAGACGTTTACTGACAAACAGGCAGGGGGAGCTGTGTGGAATGTTTTGGCTACGTGACATGGTTAGATTGTTGTTTTTGTTTTCCACGAGTAAAAGTGCAAACGTGCTTCCTTCTGGATTAAGACAGATTAAGATTAAGAAAACGTGTTTGTCTCAGTCCTGTGCTGGACTGGAGGACAGTCCAAGGTCAAAAACTGCAGTGAGTTTACAGTGTACTGGACTCTGGAACGTCTAGTTGGTGTTTGGTGGAACGAAAGTTCATACTATCACCAAAAATAATAATTATTATTATATATTTTGAAGTCACAATATTTAATTGGAATAAGACGGATACATTTTATATTAAGGATATTTTTGTGTTCTGTTAAAACAAAGCTAAGAATGTAGCTGTAATGTTAGCATTAGCATCATTGTTGTCAAAGTCTGAAGAATTGAAATCCCAAAATGTTCACATTCACAGCTGGTTAAATGAAAACTGTGTTTTTGCTTCTTTGTTTATTTGTTGTTGTTTTTGTTTGTTTGTTTTTTTTACCTGTGAATGTTTTTCCATAGAAATGTGAAAACAGATTTAAACCTGAAGTCATTTTAACTTCTCCTCCAGCAACACATTCCTCACACACTAATCCGTGTGTGAGAATCGTCTTATTTTGCCTTGAATGATTACAGGTTCTCCAGGATTCTGCAAATTCCGAAAATCCACGGTAGATCTGTCATAATTAGAATGTGTTTCTTCAAAGAGCCTCAGTGGTATTTTACCCACAGGAGAAACTAGACGGTTGTATTATTATAATTCTGGTCACAGGAAGCATCTGGTTGATTCCAGAACAGGTTGTTGGGGTTTTTTTTGTTCGTTTTGGGGTTGAACACACCAGGGATTCCCCTCCACCGTGTTCACATTTGGTCCCATCCTGGTCTGAACACTGTCGCTGACGTTGACGTAAAGTTTCTCTGCCGCACGGACCACAAGACATGATCCACGGGATTTAGGAACAGCGCTGGGGACACTACAGCGCAGAGCGCCGATTGCTGTGGTAGCTGTACACCTACCGAAAACCTTTTCCAAAATTCCCCATTTCTGGCATTTTGTTGTATGAAATACTAGGTTATAAATATCTGCGTCCATAAGTGATGAGAAGGAGGTGAAAGATTCATTCATCTTCTCATACGTTTTCTTGTTGTGTCCAAAATGCCTTTGCTTCCTGGTCGTTGCATTACTGCCACCTGCTGGCTGTTTGTTCGTTTGGTCTGTTGTATTTGATAGAAAACGTTAACAAATCCAGGGAACGGGCCAGCTGACAACAAAACCTTAGCAACAACGTCCCAAAATGATTTTAATCATTCCTTGGCTCCACCTTTGAACTCCTCTGTGGGACCAGTGCCTTTGTTGTTCTTACTGTGAAGACGTCAGCTCCTCACCTGCCACACACTCTTCAGGAAACTGAGGCACATTCTGTCCATATGAAAATAGTGGTGTGACATGAGAAGGTTGGAGAAAGAGAACCATCCCAAAGGAAAATGTAGCTTGTTTTTCTAGTTGAAAAGGAAACAGGATCCGACAGAAGGCTGGAAGAAAAGACACTTTCCTCTGGGGGAGATAAAGCTGTTCTCTTTTTTATGATTTAAACCTCAGGATCAGGGCATGTTTTCAAACATTGCATTTTCTGTGATTGTGTCACAGAGGACGGAGGACAAACTGTAGAGGACAAAGTCCTGGTGACTTTTCACCTTTGATGTGTTCTGTGGATGGTCAGTTGTCCTTCGAGGAGGTGACCGTTACAGCAGTCTGGCAACGGTCATGAAGGAATGAAATGAATCAACGTTAAGATAGTGGTCACAGTTGTCAAAACCTCCGTACTCACACTGTAAATAACAACGATTCTTTGTAGAATTACTTGGAAAAGTCTTTTCCTGTCCAAATTTATTTGGGCGGAAGAAATCAGAAGAATCTTGATTGAAATGTTTAAAATCTGCAGACAATTTTTAAAAACAAACAAACGTGTGTTTGCCTTGATTTCTCAATTATTTATTAAAAAAAAAACAAAAAACTTCAAATACATGCTAACACAGATGAACTCCACTCCACAAGGCTGTTACTGCTGCTGCTGCTGCTGCTGTTGCTGCTGCTACTGCTGCTGCTGCTGCTGCTGCTGTTGCTGCTGCTACTGCTGCTGCTGCTGCTGCTGTTACCGCTGTTGTTGCTGCTGCTGCTGCTGCTGTTACTGTTCCTGCTGCTGTTACTGCTGCTGCTGCTGCTACTGCTGCTGTTGCTGCTGCTGCTGCTGCTCCTGTTACTGCTGTTACTGCTGCTGCTGCTGCTGCTGTTGCTGTTGCTGCTGTTACTGCTGCTGCTGTTACTGCTGCTGCTGCTGTTGCTGCTGCTACTGCTGCTGCTGCTGCTGCTGTTGTTCCAGACCTTTTGAACTCATTTTTCATCGTCTTTTTGACCCTTGTATTCTGCCATGCATTTAAACCATAGTTGACAATAAGCTTTAAATGCACAGCACCGCGCAGCCGCCGCGTAGCCACCGCGCAGCCACCGCGCAGCCACCGCGCAGCCGCCGCGTAGCCACCGTGCAGCCCCCACATGTTTGTCCAAACCTGAAGCAGACTTTAAACTGTGTTGGTGAGTTAAAACCCAGTCCTAATTCTAAAGAGTGGGTGACGTCACGGCGCGACCTGAGGTTACCTGGAAGCCCAGCAGGATGCAGAGGTACCACGGCGGCCGATCATTTAGGGAGTAAACCAGATCGACTCCCTTGTCTGCGTTCTCCTCCAGGGCCTCGGCGTGTTGCTCCCCAACATCCACGCTCAGCTGTGGCTGTTCATCACTTTCTTTGCCCTTGAAAGGAAGAAAGGTCAAGAAGACAAACACGTTCACGTTCAAGTCTCATATATCAAGGGTTCATCAAAAAAAAATAACAAGATCACAGGTTTTTTTATAATTCCACAGGGAATATTTGGACACCGACTCTCAGACTAACATTTTCTGTCGACACACCCTGAAGCAGTGGAACGTACCAGAGGCCGTGGATGAACCCACGGTTACCGCAGCTTTTTGGAAGAGAACGCAGTTCAAGGAAAAGTCCACGTTTTCACTGAGGTCTGAAGCTAGTGATTTTGATCAGTTCAGATGAGGGACACAGAGTCGGGGTCTAGACTCTCTGAGTTATAGGGCTGTAGGGTGGGCGGGGGTGGGGGGGGGGGGTGCAGGTGTATTCTATGGTATGCTGATAATGAAAAGATAACTAAATCCAAAATATTCATGTTCTCCTCCAGAACATTTCATATTTCTAGTTGCTGTCAAGTTTGAGAGACGATGATGTCACTCACGATTTAGCTCTGATTGGCTGCCAAAGTTGAAAATGGAAGTATGCACTCATTTAGCTGAGAAGCGTGTGTTTCTGTGAGTGGTTACATGTTTGGTTTGGTATGTGCAGGTCGGCGTGAACGCTGCCGCACCGTGAAGCGATTAACTTTGGCAAAATGGTTTGCAGACTGTGTTCCATCGTAAAGAAACACAAACTGTCCTATAAAAACAATCGTTTAAAACAGCAGTAAAACTATATTTGTCTGGCAAATGTCCAGCAACTGCCGACTGTTGGTTAACGTGGTCTGTTTTTAATGATGGGGCTGTGAAAAGCTGACTGCGGCGTGGCTACAGTTAGCCTCGTTTTAGCCACGCTCTTAGAACGCCACTTCACTGTTCCTCCACCGTACGGTGCTGATGAGCTCCACTTTTGTCCTACTGCTGTTGAAGAAAATGTTTTCCTTCAACACAGAATAAGTTCAAAATATTACTACAAAATTGGACAAAAGTGTAACTTAGCTCCTAAAGTCAAAATTGTTTAATTTTGACGGCTAATTACAAATAAAATGAATAAACGAACCAAATAAAAGGTAACATGACTGACAAAGAAAAACAGAACTGACATTAACAAAACGTTTACGTCAGTCTTAGAACAACAGTCACTGTTGACCAGTGAGTGTAAGTCACCAAGTTTATTATTAGCACGGACATGTTTTGGTGGCTCTGTGTGTTACGTTACATGAACCACATCCACAACAACAGGACTCTGGGACGTCTGCGTGTCGTCCACGGAGGCAGCTGTCTGGGCTTTTATGAAAGCATCCTCTGGGAAACAAGTGATAGCTGATGATGGCAGATGTGAGTGTGACTTGAACTGGTGCCGTTAAGACCAGCTAATCCTTTAAGGGTCACCTGATACTTGAGACCAAGAGGTCAACTCCCTTTTAAAACAGGCCGCATCGGACAGATCGGTTTTCTTTGAGCTTTCTATAAAGTCTTTTGATGTAAACCCTGTACGTCGGCTTCTGCGGTCACATGTGTAAACATTGTATTACCGGAAAAAAGGGGATTCGAGCCGCATGAATGGAAAAGAAATCTTCAGTCGCTGCCACGGGCCGAGTGCTTCTCCTGAACTCTCCATATATTTAATTACACATTAGCATGTAAAGTGATTTTTGTGGGCGCCCTCTGGTGACCCATGGGCTGTGTTCAAATGCAAAGAGGTTGTTTCCCACTTAACACGGCCCACGTGGGACAGAGTGTTTGCCGAGGGTCTGAGGGACGTCACAGCAGGGTTTGAACTGTTCAGGGGTCACGCAGGCTGATTTTGTTGTGACACGTTTCACTACTAATTAAACCTAATGCCCTAACCTGATTTGTAACCGATTATTGCAGAACGTTCAAAGTGAGCAGTAAAACGTAGGTTTTCCTGGGACTTAGAGTCTGTAAACAGGCCCACCATTAAGATGGAATATATAAATATAAATATAAGTATATTTTAAAGGAGTTTATTTGAAAGAAAAAGATCACTGCAATCAGTGATTAAATATTCCAGTGCAGTGGGTTTCAGAGTGGTGGCCACCAGAGGGCGCAAGGGGAACTAAGGGAAAAAAGCAACAAAAGAATCACAGTTTATAAAAATTTTTTTTTTTGTATAACACTGTCCTGAATTGTCGGATTCTCAAATGTCCAGCGGTACCTGAATGCACCTCGTGTGACAACTGCATTGCAGCACGACCATGGTATGTGCCTGTCATCAAGCTGCTCTACTGCTCAAGCTAGCATGTAGCTACGTAGCCCAAAGTGGAAAGGTTTCCGACAAAAGAGCGGAGCGGAGTTAGGGTTAGTTAAAAATGTTCTTATTCTAAACAAATACTTTAATTATTAAAAATACTTTGTCGTATCCTCGACTAGAAGCTAATGCTGTTGATGGACCTTAGCACCAAACTTCAGATTTAATTCCAAAACTGGAAGAAAGACTTTTGAAGAGAACGTGATTCTGGTCCTTGATGATCTTTAACTCTGATAGGAGATTTGTTTCAACCAAAAGTGATGGTATGTTAATAAATACATCCACTAGATGGAGCACACATTTTCACAAATCATTTTCTTTCTCAGTGTATTTTAAAACATCACCTTCCTTTATTGTATAACTTTTTCCACTATTGTTTCCCACTCTTCAGTGACTGACGGAGGTTTTATCCCTAGTTTGGAGAAAGCCCACGGTCACACCCTCACACCAGACAGAACTGGCAACCTGCATGTACAATCCAAATAATCGAAACCTTTTCTTGGTGAATTTTATTTGACAGCGCCCCCCTTTATGACTGTGCGTTTACAAACCTCCTCCGTAGGTGGCCTAGGGTTCCTGATGATGCTCACAGGTTTCAAGCCCATCCCAGAGAAAAGACGAGAACTCGTGGCTCAACACGATTTTAAAGGGAAGACAGAAAACAACACGCCTTATTTTTGATCCTGTTTTTTCTGAAGATGAAAACTAAACATTCCTCTCTTCTCCTCTATTTCTTGTAGGAGAGGAATTTGACCTTCAGTTAACCTACATGTGAGGGACAAACGCACATAAACCAGGCCTTTTTACACAGGCAGTTCAAAGATGGAGCGTCGCACCTTTATGACGCCTCAGATTTCTGTACAAACAGGAACAGAGAGCTCCGTTACTGTGCCTTTCAGACACACAAGTCTGGAATTTATTTATTTTTTAATAATAGGAATAAAGCAGAATCAGTGAGAACATCAGGTGCAGCTGTGGCGTTCACCAGCGCAACAGCTAAAATGTTAGCATAGCTCAACATCAACATATTTACTTCATTACAAATAGATTTGTTATAATTATGTTACATTTATTTTCTGGACTAAAAGTCACACTTCTTTTCATCCTTTGTCTGGATCTGCGACTTATACTCAGGTGCGACTTTTATATTAAAATATATAATTTCACGTTCGTTGTTTTCACACCGACAGCCGCTGGAGGGCTCTAGGCTTGTGTACCAGTGTCTACTGCTGTACCACTGAAAATTTACATGTTCAATATTTTCATACTGACAGCCGCTAGAGGGCACTGGTGTGACTTATACTCCGGAGCGACTTATAGTCTGGAAATACGATAATCCAATCCACACAGTTTTGTACCGAAAATCTCTGTGTTTTGTTATTATGAAATGTAGTTAAATAACTTAGCAAAATGCTACAAAACAATCACCTTTAAGTTAATGGTGTTTTGTAGAAATAGTTACAGAAATAATTACGAGTTAAAAAATAACTGTCATCGTTGTAGAATCATTTACCGCCTGGATAGTTTCTCCCCGAAATGATTCAGTTACAAATTTGATTTGAAAAACGATGGCCGTCCCAACGCTGTGACAAAACGTGTTGTTTTTTGATGTTCTCTGTGAATTCTTCGGTGAAAATCCAATCCCAGTGGGTAAAAACTCGTCAAACTCAATTAGTCCATATATGTTAAAGTAGAAGCTAATCGGTAATAGCAGCCGTGCTACTGTTGTTGTTGCTTTAGAAATGATGGACAATGCCCTGGAGACGTCTTTGACAGTGGCTGTCCAACAGCCTCGGGCGTCCCCACAGGCGGACGTCGGACAGATTAGCTTTTGTCTTGAAGTATTTTCTGAGGAAAGTTAAAATATATTTATAAAATATAAAATATTAAAATACTTGTCAAACGTAGTCTTTTCAGTAATGACTATGTTTGACAAAACAAATGTGTCTCCAAAGGTCATCACTCCGTATTCTCCTTCAGTGACCTTTAAAGCCAGGCCTTCTAATAATGCCTTAGTGGGTGTCTGTCAGGGGGGTGGGCCGGGGAGGGGGGTCAGAAGAATCTAGGAACCTATGATTTAATGAAAACTAAAACATGTAGTGTAAAGTGACAAATGTTGTCATCAGTCCGACCACAGCGGTATAAAAACACATTAACTATCCCTCGGCCACCATTCCAAGGTCTCTGGAGCGCAGGCCCCCGCCCCCCGCTTTCAACACTGACTGTTGTATGTTGCTCAACTAATTAAATCGGAACCATATGTCCCAGAGTGCTGCATCTTATCACTAATAATTGGGAGTGTCTTGACCGTTGCACCGTTCTTCTGACAGGAGATAACATCCAGACCGCCTTCATTTTCAGATATTTTACATCAAAGTTCCTCGATGGAGGGAAAATGCAACCTTCACTGTGGAACCTGCTGTGTTTCACGGGTGGGAGGGGGGGGGGTGTCGGGCC